TTCGAGTCCCCACTCAGCATGGAAACCTTCCAGATGACCTTGGACAAGTTATACTCTCTCAGGCACAGAGGAAGACTCTGTACTTTGAATAAATCTTAAGAGCCAGTACAACTTGTTCAAGTGATAGGGACTTGGTGCTCTTCCAGGTTCGGTGATGGGTTGTGGTGGAAGACAGAATGCATCTCACTGTTTTCATTAGTAACTAAATAATGGCTTTTACAAAAATAGGAGCAATTAAAAATTCAGTGGAAGAACTGGCATGGTGGGGTGGTTTGAGGGTTGGATGAGGATCCTGGGAGAACAGAGTTTGAATCCCTCCCTGCTCAGCTATGGAAACCCATTGTGGCACCACAAGCTGAACATGAGTCAACTGTGTGATGCAGCAGCTAAAAAAGCCAATGTGATTCTAAGGTGCGTCAATAGAAGTGTAGTGTCTAGACAGGGGTCCCCACACTTTTTGATCTTCTAGAACATGGCCACACAGCCCAAAAAACCCACAAAAACTAAGGGGAACGGCCTTTGCCTGCATTGAAATTGGTCGATGCCATCTTGACAACATCTCAGATGGAACGTAGACCTTTGATTGTCACCTTTTTTCTCCTGTATGATTTTTTAACATCTTTAACCGATGAAGAACCCAAAGCTTTGAAAGCTTGCACAATGTATTTCTATGCTTTGCGAAATAAAAGGTATCACTGCTTGTGGATTTCTATGTATCCATCAAGGCGTGACATTTTAATCAGCCAGAACTGCATTGTAGAGGACAGATTGAGTCTTCCTTATCCGTAATCCCCAAATCCAAAATATTAAAAACAAAACAACAAACCCCTTTTTCATGGGTGGCTGAGACAGTGACACCTTTGCTTTCTGATGGTTCAGTACAGACAAATGTTGTTTCAAGCATTAAAAATGTTGTATAAAATAACCTTCAAGCTACGTGTATAATAAGGTCTATCAGTGATTCCCAAACTTTGGTCCTCCAGATGTTTTGGATTTCAGTTCCCAGAATTCCTGATTATTGGCCAAGCTGGCAGTGGCTTCTGGAAACTAAAATCTAAAACACTTGGAGGACCAAAATTTGGGAACCACTGGTCTATATGGAACATCAATGAATTGTGTGTTTAGATTTGGGTCCCATCTCCAAGATCTCTCATTATTTACATATATGCAAGTACGGGTTTTCCGAAATCCAAAAAATCCGAAATTGAAAACACTTCTGGTCCCAAGCATTTTGGATAAGGAAGACTCAACCTATAACTATCTTAATTTAAGAGTATAATCTGAGACAGAAATGTAGGTCTGTGACTCTTAACATTGTCCTATTTTTTTCCTGCATGTTTTTTAACATCTTTGCC